CCGCCGTTGCCTCGCCGCCCGCCCCTGCCTCGTCCCCGTCCCATTGGTTGCGAAACGGTGGAGAAACTCGGGTGCGGTTGTTTCAATTCGACACTATCGGAGTGTTTGTGCGGATATCCGAAGAGAACTCGCCTTTCGTGCTGAAATGCAACTGCGGACGGGGTATATAATTCGCAGCTGCTCTGGCCTGTTTGAAGAGAATAAGTAGCACAGCTAACGCGAGAGGGGGATAGTGCAGGATAGCAGCGAACAGGGCGGCCGCTTATTGATGCGCAGCGGGCCTGACGGCCATGGGGCTTGGTCAGCGCCGCCTGCACTGTGAGATGCGATTTGCAGCTTGCAAGAACACACTCATCTACCAGTACGAGAGCATATCGCCCGCACAGGTGACTCTCAACCGTTGCAAGTGATCTGAAGTTACTCTGCCCACAGAACCATAGTATACTAATATACCAATATTTCTATTTTGCGGGCACAGAATCCCCAGCTTACAGGCTGTGTATACTAAGGAGTAGCTATAAATGTACAATAGAGTGCTTGTCCAGCAGAGCTACAGCTACTCCATCTACACATAAGCTTAAGGTACAGTGCACAATAGGCTTCTCGTCTGCTCTGCTCCCGCTTCGTTTCACCCCACTCCTCCCGATCCCGCACTGTCCAGGTTGCTGCAGCACGGTAAAATAATATGGCCCGTCAATATCCAAGCTAACGCGCTCCAAGGAACATCAGTGTGTTGGAGTCACCGAAAGCTCTGGCAACCGTGAAGAGCCGAAAGCAACTGCGGCAACATTGTGGTTCCCTGTCATTCTCGAGGATACCACCCTCTGGTGGACTCATATCAGCAGGAGTGTTGAGAATCAGCCGGAAGCGGGTGACTCTTGCCATCTTTTGTCCCTCGAGTTTCCCACCTCAGTCCATCATTTCAGCTCCACCATGAGCACTGGCCTCGATCGCTTCCAACGAGTCCTACAATACTTCTGGGATCCCGAGCCAAAGAATACTGAACCGATGAACTCTATCTGGGTCCTGGGTCAGGAATACCCTAGCATTCCTGTACCATCAACTCATCCATCCTCCGCCCCTGCGACTCCACCAGGAAACTCTACACCGACTGGCGAAGAGCCCCCGAATGATCTGTCGCAGAGTGTCGTTGTGTCGAGCAATAATATTCCATCGGAGGACAACTGGCCAATAGCGTTCCTGGAGGACTTTGACTCGCGGATATGGATGTCGTACAGGACGGACTTTCCGCCCATTCCAAGGTCAGCACATCAGTCGACTCTGTCTTTCACCACGAGACTAAGGACACAGTTGTCGGCGGATCAGAGTGGGTTTGTGTCGGATGTGGGCTGGGGATGTATGATACGGACGGGCCAGTGCCTCTTGGCCAATTCACTACAGCTACTCACACTTGGGAGAGGTTAGTCTTCAACTTCCTCACCCAGTTGCCAAAGCTTTACAGTTCTAACAGTTAAATAGGCTGGAGAAGAGGAACACAGGAGGCCTTGGAGAAAAGAATTCTGGCTCTCTTTGCGGACGACTCCAGGGCGCCCTTTTCAATCCACAAATTCGTCAAATACGGTGAGGAAGCATGTGGGAAAAGGCCTGGGGAATGGTTCGGACCATCGGCTGCCGCAAGATGTATACAGTGGGTATTGACCTATTGGAAAGCAGTATGGACTAGTCATTGACAGGGCTTAGGAAACTATGCGAGGACTATCCACATGCTGGGCTCAAAGTTTATATAAATGGGGATGGAAGTGATGTATATGAGGACGCCTTTCGAAAGGTTGCTATTTCAAATGATGGGAGATTTCGACCAACATTGGTCCTTCTAGGGATACGGCTGGGGATTGATAGGGTCACACCAGTTTATTGGGAGGCGTTAAAGGCAATTTTGCAGATGAAACAATCTGTTGGGATTGCTGGGTATTCCATTCCCGCAGCTCATTATGTGGCTAACTAGCTAACTGGCTTTTTCTGAATCCACAAGCGGTAGGACAGGCGCATCCCATTACTTTGTGGGCGTCCAAGGAAACTACATTTTCTATCTTGACCCACACCAGCCACGGCCCTTCCTACCTTACAAAGAAAGCCCTACAAAATATACTGCAGAACATGTGGACTCATGTCATACCAGGAGACTACGGAGATTGCATCTGAAAGAGATGGATCCCAGCATGTTACTTGGGTTCTTAATTAAGAATGAGGACGACTGGCAAGCATTTCGAAATGGTGTTGCGGAGGTAAGCCTTTTTATACTACGAACGCCATAATTCACAGCCTGGCTACTTTCTACCTAGCGAGAATACTAATTCGTATTATTATAGGTACAAGGAAAACCGGTAATTCATGTGGGTGATGTAGAGCCCAGCCCTTATGGAGCGAATAAGGGTGAGAGGGAAGAGGCAGTGGATGAAGTGGAAGCTTTGGAAGATGACGAGGATGAGATGTGTTGAAGGGTATAATTATCTTTACTATGCACGTGTTCTATTACCAGGGAATTTCACAATGCAGCCATATTGGTGTAGCAGTGTATGGGGTGTATTATGAGTGTATAATCCAGTGTACTATGAAGTGTATGGAGGTGGTTTATGGGTAACTATGTTTATTGTAGAGATGAATTCCAAATAAATGAAATCGGAAAAACAAGTATGGTGTTTTCTGCCCCCCACGCCAAGCGATCCTCCTGAAAAGCTACAGGGTGGAAGCTTCTGTTCTCCAAAAGTCTCGATCCAATAAACCATCTACAAAAATGCCCCGAACAAAACGGAAACAGCAGGTGCAAAACACCGATTCCTCGTCAGCGACAGCACCCGCGACTACGACACTTCCAGTCGCACCTGCAGCGCCGCAACATGGGAGGGTTGTTGGGGTGAGTGGCGGAGCGAAGCAGAAGAGAAAGAGGAGGCGGAAGGCGAGGACAGAGGGTACATTACTTTCCCCCACTCTCCCCGGGCTACAGTATACACTTATCAGGTGCTGTAGTGTTATTCTTGTGGAAGATAATTGGGCTGATGATGTGGTCATGAGGTTGGGGCGGCAGTGTCAGATTCGGATAGCAGTAGTAGTAGTTCTAGCGAGAGCGAGAGCGATGATAGTTCGGCAAAGCGGAAAGTAAAGTCGATAAAGCAGAAGAAGAATGAGGCGGAGGCGGAGAAAGAAGCCTTCGAGCTACTAGCCGGGAAGAGCACTGCGGATGGCGATGCGGAGATGAAGGATGTCATTTCCGATCACGGGGGCTCACCATCACCGGAAGAAGATTCGGATGAGGCAGATGGTGCTGAAAACGGAGAAGGAGGACCAAAGAAACGCCCTGGGGATTTCTCCCCCGGCAAGGTTCGCCCCACACTTGATCTCCACTCCCCGAAACGAATTGAACTATGCTAATGGTATATTTCCGTATAGTCTCGCCGCATTCCCGCCCCCCTCCTCCACCGAGACCCCACAGACCCACAGTCCGCCCAGCGCTTCGAGGAGTACTACATGCAGCTCATCACATCTGAGTTTGGCGAGGAGCTTAATCAAGTTCGGAAGGCGAAGGATTTCAGTGAGAGGAGCTTGCCGATGTTGGTGAGGGCACTGAAGATGGGGGTAAATGTGTTTGAGATGGAGGAGAAGAGGAGTGTGGTGAGGAGTTTGGGGTTGTAGATTGGCAAAAGAGGAGTCGGAGGAGGAGGGGGAGGAGTTGTATTTGCATACGATATGACACTTGGTAGGTTTGTACGATATCATAAACAAGGAGGATAAACAAAAGTTTTATAAAAATAACCAGTGTGCATTACCCTCAAATAGCCAGCCGAAAATGAACACTCAAATGTGAGGATAGCTGTGTCAGCCCTCCTATCGCTCCTTCAGAACCCCTCCCTCCACCCAGTCCCTCGCCCTAAACTCCTCCCCCGGGCCCCCTCCCGCCCCCTCCTTCCAAACTTCCACCGGCCTCCCTTCATCCAGCGCCCTTTCCTCCCTCCGCAGCGTCTGCTCCGTCTTCTCTACCCGACTTGCCATCCTCTTAATGCTGGTGTTAACGCGGTTGACCAAGCCCTACCTCGGATTGTTAGGATGAGTTATCCTTGGATGCGGAGCTGGGATGGGCAGGGCTTACCTCTAACAAGTCAATCTGTCTATATACCTTCTCCAGCTCCTTCGCTATAGGCACCAAATCCGCTGCGACGGGCTCAATCACATTTGCAGTCTGCGCTTGGGCCTAGAAAAAATTCCCATCAATATCCCGTCAACATCCCAGATGACCATACCTCAATCATCCCAGAAAAATTCCCAAGATGTAGATCTTATCGATAAGCCCCTCCCCCTGCCTGCCATCCCCATACACTTTTGGTATCATATACAGAGTCCACCCCACTAGAACAAAAATTCATACAAGAACGCCAATAGCCAAAAAAAAAATACGCACCTCCTGCAAGACATCCTTCTGTGCCGCAATCATTATCTCACATCCACTCTTCATCTGCCCGATATTGGTCGATATTGGTGCAAACAGCTGACTTCTCAAATACATGGCAATCTCCTCCGCAACCTCCGGCGGGAGCTGCGTCACCGGCGGTACCTGGAATCTTGTCCGCGCACAATTCCCTAGTGGCTCTGAGACATCCTGACCCTGACCCTGGCCCTCTCCATGTTCATGTTCATGCTCAGGCTCATCTTGTATTTGTCGACTCATGACTGCAGACACTGACGCTGACGCTGGCACTGGCTAGAGATATTCCAGTCGTAGTCGAGAAACCTCATTGGTCAAAGGACAATGAGGGAAGAATAATTTGTTTCAAGCCAAACGAATTAAACGTTTAAACTTGTACCAGATCCATGGGTGTATAAAGGTGCAGCGGGTGAAATGGGATGGAGGTGATGAGCTGGCGCCGCTCCTGCAGGCGCAAGGAAGATCAATGATCATCGAAGCCCATGTGCCATGCTACGTACACATCACAAGATGAAGCTGTCACCGGGGCAAGCAATTCGGTAGAGGGGAAACAAAAAGATACCGTCGAGAGCAGGGTTCGAACCTACGCGGGAGAACCCATATGATAGCATGAGTTGTCCGAAGCAGACAATTCAAGTCATACGCCTTAACCACTCGGCCATCTCGACTTGTTGTAACAATAAAGGCTTGGTATACTTGTGAACCGATGACAAGAGTAAGGTGACCACACCTCAAATACTTTTCAAATTTTAGTTCCGGCATGCCGGTGCTAAGGAACTTGGTAAGGCAGCGCTGGAGTGCTGCGATGCCTCAAAACTTGTTTGAAGAGATCCATTCTCAAATCACTAATACAAGCATAACCCTGTCATTTCCTAGATGATATGCCATATATTAGGTATCTAGAGGCATTGGGGTCCGATTTATAGAATAATTGTGCATCTATGTCTGCAGAAAATCGAACTTTGTTAGGACAATATCAACATGAATAAAACGTACCACCTCTAAGCGGCAGTCGATTCAAACATACTCTCCCGCAATGTTCCGGGACCAAGTCCTCTGAATATCTCCCCTGTGGTTAAGCATGTTGCCTAGGTAAGGAAAATATGCACCCTTCACGCACCTAGGATGTGCGAATCGTATTCTCAATGTTGAGAATTGGTCGGAATGACATGAAGTACCTTCTCAACAATATGATCCATTGATAAATTCCTGTATACGGTGGCTGTATTGAAACATGCTCCAAGTTCATTCCCCATCCAGTTCATGTTTATCCTCAAAAGATATACAAGGATACTCCGCCCAACTAGATCAAAAGTGAGACCTCGCACGTATATTCAGCACCAGTTGAAACGGTCTCTTGAGTCCAACTTATTCCACTGCTGCAGCTCCTTAAGCGACCACGCTGGCGAATATCGACATTGGTGGTACTGTTGCACGCTAGTCGTGTAACGAGGGAATTTGGAGGCACCAGAAACTAAGTGCCAAGTTGCTTTAATATTTTCGCTAATATACGGAATCATTAGTCTGGCGAGCACCGGAATCATACCTGGCATTCTTTTCCTCTTCCGTGGAAAACAGGTTTTCGTACGGATGACCGCATGATTTGAGACCCAACCCATACGTTATCTTTCGACAAGCTCAAATTTTCCCTCGGCCTTTTCTGAGAGCACAAGCCTGGGACTCGACATGGATAGAGGTCACTCGAATTGTTACGACCATTCGTTTTATTTAGAGAAGGGTTACGCCCAAACCAAGCTAACCTCTTACATCACTTCCTTATCCGTCAAGTTAATCTACGCTAACCTCTTTTGAATAGCTGGGCATATTGCTGGTTGTAGTCTGCTTGAGCTAGTCTAGTTGATAGCGGCTCGTAGTGCAAGAACTAGTATGGCGGGCACCGCCTCTCAGAGAGACGCTAGCCAGACTAAGCTAGAGATGTGCCAAACCAGACTGACTAGCTAGAGATAACTAACAGCAACCCTTTCAGGTTGGAGACTATATGAGACAAAGACTTATATATGTACTTATAATTATAATCATTCCATTTGTATCTTTGCCGCATTTTATGCTAGAGTATCTAGATCGAAATTTCCCGCAACCCACGATTGACATCGATAACCTTCTATTAAATCACCCAATTCGAATTTTCCCAGTGTGCATACCTACATATGTAGCGTGCACATAGTAACATTTTAGTACCTTGGGATATAAAGTATCAAGACCAATCTGTTCGCGTGCTGGTATTAAGTAGTTGATACTGGCTCAACTCTGGCCCGAATGCGTCTTTATAGCATACACATTGCAATGAATACTTTCTGGAAAATAGTCCTAGCCCCTTGAAATTTCTGTATTTGGCAACAGAGGGTGGTGGAGGGCAGGAGGACGACCCTGTCTCTAGATGTGGAGAAGGGTGAAAGGATGGTGGAAGGAAAGAAGGACGGATCCTGTCATAGATGTGGAATGCAGAACCGTAAATTACCTGATTTTACCAAAACTGTATATGAAGGATCTTGTAGTAGTTTCTAATGAAATCAGGTAACTTCGAAGCCCGTATGGAGTGTTGACGATTGATGTGTAAGCGCCCTCAAGAAAACTAGGGGAATCCATTCGGAGCCATCTCAGGGTAACATCCACCTTGACCACACCAGGCGCGCAAAATGAGGAGGGATGACTTGGAATTATGTCTACAATAGGTCCCTCTCTGGCCCTTCCAACCAAAACAGATTGAGTTAAAGAAAACAACTCCAGGCTAAAAGACTATGATGTATAGAATGATGCCGAATGAAAGTATGACAAAAAGGAAAGAGTCATTGGATTCAGATTTCTTCATTATTTGATTTCCTACCAAACCCAGGTCAAGACACATGAAGCAACGGAGAGAAAGAAAATAAAGTAAAAAAGACATAATTCCAACGTGGGCTACTGAGAAGTTCCGGTTCTCGTCCTCCCCCCATGGATCTTCAAAGGGATCAGCCCGAATGTAAAGCCCAAACAGTGAACAAGGTCCAATTCCTCCCATGCCGTCTCGATATTATCTAAACATTTCCCATATCATCAAATCGTAGCCATGCAAAAAGTATCCTCCTCTTTACCTCATCATGAAACACTAGCACGATATTAAAGGCGTCATCTAGATTGACGACCTCTTGCGTTGTTTATGAGAAGAATTTCCTCGCGAGTGTCTGCTTATCGATCGGTAGCTGTGCTAATATCTGCTGTGCCTGCGGCCCAGCGCTGATTAATAATCCATTCATGGCGCCAATGACGTTCTCCGCGTTCCGGCCGGTGATGGACTGCGAGTCTAGAGCTTCTAGCACAGAGACAATTACGTGAGTAATGTTCTGTATCACGGCGGGGTTTTTCCTACCAGGGAAGTTATGTCAGCAACTGAAACAAATGGAAAGGAATGTAAAAGAGATGGATAGAATTACTCTTCAATAAGTTGGACCAAGAACAGATACGCGTATGGGGCAACCATCTCGTCGCAAACGACAGGTAATGTCTTGACCCAGTTTGTTACAACCATTTGAGGATCAGCTACTCGACTGTTGTTGAATTGCAGAATCTTTGCAATACTAGCGCATGCATTTTCTGTCGCAAAAACATGATCATCTTCCCGCGCGTGAGGGAACCGTGTGACCTGAAACAGCTTGGGAATACAAGCTGCAACAAATTCTGCGTAAATCTCCCCGCCATTTTTAGCTGCCATGCCAACACCATATGCTGCGGCTTGTCGATTCGCAGGCATAGTGTCCTCGAGGCCAATCATTATTGGCTTCATAAAATGCTCTTGATACTTGAAGGATTCCCGGCCACAGAACTCAAGCATATCATCCATGATGCAAAGAGCCCATTGGCGCTGGCTTGGATCTGAGCTAGCGATAAATGTATCATAGTACGGCATTAAACGCTCCCAGTGTGGCAAGAAGCTGGCTCCTTGGTTTTTGAAGATGATGTGGAAGGATTTATTCATGTCCGAGAGAAGAACCTGGTCATCTTCAATAGCGTATAGTAGTTCAGCGGAATCTTCGAGGTCATCCTCGTCCTTAGCCGCCTCCTTAAGACGCATCTCTACACGGGCGCGATATCTCTGTAGATCAATCTCAACCTTGCTAATGAATCCTGCCATGTACTCTGGCGTCAAAGAGTTTGGCCCAACAACTTCCACTGACTCATAGAAGCATTGATACATCTCGGTAAGTGTATCAACTGCAACATCGGCATCCTGGGGCCCCAAAACACTTAAAATCTTCTCAATGGCAGGCCTCCAAATTTCCAGGAGCTCGGGGGACTGGGAGCCATAGCACTTCTTGAAGGAGTTGAGGAGCTGAGGTACCAGTTTCGCCGAGGCAACTCTTACAGCATCATTGAAAAAGAAGTCGAAGCCGGGAATTGCAATATCCGTTAGGACCCCTCTTACGTATGGCTCGAATGCTCCCTCTAGCTGTTGAGCATAGGTTACAAGGAGTTCAATGGCGAGGTATTTGTCGTCGAGGATTGAAGTCTTTATGCCGATGTATTTCCCTCCAGCAGGTACCAGCTCCCATCCGTCCTCCTGCTCATACTGTTGAATTTGGTCGTCGTCTATGAAACTTAAATTAGCTCCAATTCAGAACAACAACGATGAAAATTACCTACCGTCCAACAACCTAACATCTGCCTTGGCACTAGCAAGTTGTAGAAGTGGCGGCATCACGCCGTCCAAGTATGGCAGAAAGTCGTCGCCCATGGTACGACACATTCTTCCCCAGCAGTGGAGAAGGTAGGAACCTTGAGGATCGTCCGCATCAGTTGCAGTTTCTGAAAATTGGTTAGTAAATTGCCCAACTTAGCAAATTCAACTGTCCACCATGTGAAAAACTCACGTTGAATCCGGGCAAAAATCTTCACCAATTGGAAGGCATCTCCACCAAGCTTCTCCTTGCCCACAGCAAGCGCGATGAGGCTTGCACACTCCATTGCCTTTGCATTCAATAGCCTATTCTCTTTGGCCTGGTCGGAATGGGTGAGCACGTTGATGAGAAGTGGCATGAGGGTGTCATAGTATTTGCCAAAGGCAGCTTCCGCAGAGTCGGCGATCGTGGCGATGGTGGACAGTGCCTGCTCCTGAACATATCTCTTGGGGCTTTGTAGAAGAGCAAGCAGTCGCTTCAACAGATCGTCAAGGTATGGAACCAAGTCCTCTTTTTCGGCCTCTTCACAAAAGTTCACCAAAGCGGCGGCAGCGTGAGATTGAACCCTATAAAGTGTTACTATGGCTGGTCTAAAACCACATACATGGGGTCCTACCTTGGCTCAGGGGACTCTAAGACCGGTATTATGCTGGACATCACAATGTGGTGATACTTTTTTTGCATATCCCCAGCAAAATCAGTGCTCATCTGACCAAGGGCATTGCATCCAGCCCATCTGACTCTTGGATGTGCGTCTCTCACAGCCGGAACTACCATCTCCAAGATTTTGTCCAATTCCCCAATCATTTGATCTCTACAACCTTCTGAAATTGCTGATATGGCCATCAATGCTGCATGGCGGTCTCTCCAAGCGGAGGAGCTCAACATCCTTGGGAGCCAATTGAATGTAGGTTCCAATACAGCATCGCCGCCGAGTTTATTCGCAAGCCTGTCCATGCATTGCTCCCCTGCAACGTGGTTCATGTCACTCTCAT